CAATTTACTCCCAATGATAAGAACCATCCGTATACTACTATGACTGAACTGTAATAAATGAATGATTATCTCAAAAATGCGTTTATTAGGTGTAGAGTTATCATTTTGGTAATGGATTATGTAATTGATTTTCTTGCAGAATAATTCCATAATTGACTCGAATACGTATATCTATTTACTATGAAGCAAAAGCAAATAATAACAAGTGCTATCAAATAGTAAGTGATAGCAAATGATAACAAGAATGGTAGGGTTAGTATCAAGTGGTTGCAAATGATAGCAAGTAGTAGCAAGTGGTAGCAGGTGGTAGCGAGCAGTAGCGAGTGATAGCAATTGGTAGCAAGTAGAAACAAATAATAACTACTAGCAAATAGTAGCAAATATTAGCAAGTGATAACAAATGTGACAGAAAAACCGGATATGTCAAATTTGTATTTAATCAATAAGACTAAAAATCGTCTTATTTGCGTAATCTTTGGATGTTTCAATTAAATTGTAATATCTAAAATTTGTGTCTTTCGATCTGAAATTCATTCTTATAAGCAATTGGTATAATATTAAAATCCAGTTTTTATGTATGTAGAGGTCATCCGATAAGGATAACTCTTTACTCACGGTAATCATGCACATTGAGCAAACCAACTCCTATTTTGTATACAGAAGAAAGGTAGCAAATACTAATAAGTGCTAGCAAGTAGCAATAAGTGATAGAGCCGGTAGCATCAGTTCTTTATTGATCATGAACATATGAGAGAACAAACTAAACTTGCTAAGGAATACGATAAAGGTTTCGAAACCAACTTTGAAAAGGATCTGAGCATGTTGCAAACAATGGATATGAATACCACTCATTCGCTGATCTGTCATTAATGATAAAAACTATTCATATACTGATACGACTGAACTGTAGTAAATGTCACAGTATATTGATAATGAAATGTTCCAAAATATTTATATTTCGCCAAGGTCTATGAAGCAAAGTTTTGAATGAATATCTGATCAATATCATTATGTAAGATAAATCGATTAATGTAATGTATTCTAAGAGAAAAAAGCGTATTAGATTTTTGCGCATGGAATGAATTTTTAAGCATTCTTCATCCATAAACCACTTTCATGTTTGATTCTGTACGATTGATCCATATCATACTACCACAACATCTGCCTTCTTCTACTTCAAGAAATGTTCTGCAAATGTGATGACAGTAGTAAAATATACTCCATAATATGCTTTTCATGACAAAAATCCTTAAAATACAAACCGATTAAAACAAATTAATGGATATCTTTTGAGATCAAATCAATGATCAATAGCTCAAACAGATTCAGCATGAAGATGCTATGATTGCGCCTAACAATAATTGCTAAAAAAAAATACTGAAGGAAATTGAAATTTGAACAGTGATATGTACTAGAATATTCTGTTCTTTACACTGACTGTAAAATCATTCGAATGTTGTAAGAATTTATGAAATGCATATTATATATACTGCAAGGATTTTATATCCCATCGAGCTCTCATTTTGCATAGGTAATTATAGCAAGCTTGCCTTTATGATTGCTTTTATAATGTCGTAATCGAAATAAATTTATAAAATATGGAAATAATTTTGTATTATATGATAGCACTTTATAAACTAAAGATTATCTTGTTTACTATTTCCTTAGATAAATGTAAAACTGTTTCAATTTTATATCTCAAATGAAGAATTACTTATTCAATACTCATCTTCCAATTGTTCTAGGCTTATATGCACTGTCCATAATGTTACAATCTGTTAACAATGAATGTGTTAATTACTTAATGTGTTATAAATTAACATCAATTTTATTGCCGCCATTTTTCTCTTTGACAGCCGAACCTATTCAATTGTTGGAAGATTCAACACTGTTTTTGCTCAGTTAATTTTCCTTGTTATAAGTCAAATCTACTGACAATGTCGAAATATTGTAGAGGTCTTCTAATCAGACAGTGAGTCAATGAGTCACTCATAACTCATTGACTCACTGTTACAAACCAACTCCCAGTATATAATGGTTCTTTACTCACTGTAATTATACGTTTTATTATAAGCCAATGCCAACTATATGAGAAGTTAAAACCTTTGTCTTGGCTCAATTTTTGCAAGCTTCGGTTCATCTTACTCACTCACTTTGTACTCATTCACTCATTTCACTTTCAACAAACGGCAACATAGCATGAACAATAACAGGAATGGAGAAAGAAGAACCGCAGTTGTAAAGAGAAAGTATGACAGCTTTGAAAATATTTGTGGACTTTTTCTATAATTTGATATTCACTTTATCAATTCCTTTCCTGTTGTTGTATAAGCGCGATATTGCATGATACCATAAAAGGCTATTGCGGACGTTACAGACTTACGACAGCAATAAGAACATATCGCCGACAATAAGTAGCAGGAGGAGGTAGATATGCATGAAAAAAGAAAAAAGACTCAAAACTTTTATTAACATAAAATATTGTCCGAAAAAATAATTTTAATTGACAAAAAAGCACTAAATTATTGTTGAGAGTAATGCAGTGATGTTTGAATGATGTTTCAATCCTTGAGTTTTCAAGAAATCCGCAAAACATTTTTTCTTCCTTTCATATCTTAATTCAATCAACTGACTACCATACTTTATATGACATCGCTACCATTCAAAATTTCAATCTCACTTTATTTCATAGTTACAATGATTTAATCACAAAAAAATGATAACCATCAGCAATTATATTCATGTGCAGTCGGGAAGGCTTCACGAATTAAAGTAAATAGCAAGTAATTTGATGTTTATTTATTCGAAATTATAACAATGACTTATTCTAATCAATTCATAAATGTTTGAAACATAAGCTTTGAATTTTCGATGATCCAAAATATCTTGAAAGGGATGAAAGTTTGACTGGTAAAAGTGACTTCATATACAGGGAATATATTAAAATGGTCATCTAAAATCTTCGCGAGGATTTACGTCGCTTTTCCGCAGTTAGTAAAATTCATTAGTTATGCATCCAAAATATATTATATATATATATATATATATATATACATATTTTGTTGTTGAAGTATATACAGAAGCAGTAAGAGCATTGAACAGCATTTTTTGTCCATTGTATATTATATTAAATAAATCATCATCTAATTATTACTGATAGGATTAGTTTTGTTTTAATTCTCTGAATATTATCTGATTGGATGGAGTCAGTCAAATGTTGCTTTTAAGCACTTGAGGTTTTTATCTTCTTTGCTGTAAAAGTTATACATACGTTTGCTTGTCGATATTAATTAAAAAAAAAAGACTTTAAGGAAGTCACAAGATCAGTAAGTGACTTTGTACAGCATAATAATTATTTGATGCATTCAGTTGCTTTGGTAAATACATTCAATTATATTTCGAAATGACTAAATTGCTATTTGATATACCAGGATTGCGATATTACTGAGAATTAGAAAGTTAAATGAAAGCTTTGTATCAATTAATTGGTACATGGAGATAAAATTTTCAGTAGCTAAAATCAGAAATTAAACCACTGATGAAAACATGTGCAAAAAATAAATTCGCGAAGAAACTTTCAATCTATAGTATCTTAGCTTCATTTTGAATTGTGCATGTATTGCTATTTGAATATAGAATAGGGCTCAGGCCTGTCAACATTTTTAGAACAGAGACAAGAACAAGTTTTGTGTTTTTGCCACCGATAGGTACGCTATGTGAGAAGCGCATCATACCGGAAAAGTGAAAAGAATCGATTTCTTGAAGATATACGCGTGTAGATTGATTAGTGTTTAAAATGTAATGTTTTGAACAGAACTTCTTTAGCTGTAGTTTTTTATTTATTAAAGAAGGAATTTTTCTTAGAAATCTTCAAACTATTTTTTAGTTGTACTTCCAAAATATATCGCAATTTGAAGCTGCACAACCCGGAAGCATAAAATGTTTTACAGAAACAGTATGAGCATTAAATTACATCAAAAAAAAAAAAGAAAGAAAAACGTGAATGTCAGACAAGTCATTACTTGATTATTACTAAGAATTAACTATTGTTTTAATTCTCTGAATATCCGTATGACTTTTCAGTTAACAAATTTTAGTAAATATTAGTACAGGTGAAAAAAAGGTGACATCACTGATAAAAACTGAAATTGGAAATTAGCATGCTGGCAAATTATAGCATGCGGAAATTAAATTACTGTATCAACTTTTGGTATAATAATGCATACCATGGTGTCGGCAAATAGGCCGAAGGTACTATTACGGTAACTAAAGAATAAATAGGGGGATTGTATATAGTGTATATAGGATCTTATAGTTAGGTCGCTAACAAAGGACTCATCCTAACAAGCGGCGAAGCGAAGGGAAAAGCACAATGAGACAATAGACATACAAAGGAAACGATGTGGATATTAAACCAGAACAAAGAGGGGTTGTCAGCGATATAAGGGGAGTAATTTCTCGATATGGATATTACATGGGGTCGACTAGTTGAGGGGCGGTGGTGTTAGGGCGTGCTTAGGTCGCGTTAGAGGAAAACGGTTAGAACGACGCGTAAGAGGGATTAGTTCTTAGGACACCAATAGGACAACAATGGGGTTTAATTACCCAACTTTGAGGTAAAAAACAATCGACGACAACAACGGCAGTTTACTTATTCAAGTAGAGTATTAAACGACGTGAATTACAAAAAATGACGAAGAAATTCAACGGGTGGAGAAATACAACGGCAAGCACAGATATTCTGGCAATAAACGACGACGTACAAGCAAACGACAGTTACGACACTCAACGACAATTCAAGGATCAAGAATAAAAGGGGAAGAAAACAACAATAGTCAGCTCGACCAGTTCTACTGATAGTACAACCAACGAAGAGAAGAAACGTGATAAAATTATAATTTAAACAGGAAAGGTTGAAATATTCTTTTTTTTTTCTTTTTCCTACAAAATTTTAATTATTGGTGTCACGAGCCGGGAGGCAACCGAGTTTAAAAAAAGAAATGTTAGCGAACATAGCAATAAGCGCCAACCCCACGAAAGATAAATTAAAAAAGGCGCTCAATGAGATTAAACAATTGGAAGTTATCCGACCGGATCTGCCGGTGGAAAACCAATACGAACAATGTAAAGAACAAGAAAGAAAACTTAAAGAGAAGCAAATAACGACGCTTGGAAGAATTAATGAAAAATGGCTGGAATTCCTGCAAAGGGTACCAGCTAAACAAAAAGAAGAAGAAAATCAACGATATGCGACAATGGTTCAAGACGATCAGGAAATTCTGAAATTAATTGAAGATGGCTGGGAAACATTATTATCACTTAAGCTACACATTAATGATATTTAAGCAACGATGTAGTGTCTACAACAATCAATGGAATGGACGGCGCGAAATAATTCTGAATCGGATAGAATATCGAGTCAACAAGAGCAAGGATCAGCGGAAGTAAGATGTCCACTAACCGTTAATTTACCACGTCTTGCCCTTAAAAATTTTGATGGAGATCCGAAGCAATGGAGAGAAACCTAGAGTGGATTTGAAACAGCGGTACATCAACAGAATTCGGCAGATGTGCAGAAACTGACATATCTTCTCTCTTGTTTAAGAGGAACCGCATTAAACGCAGTGGAAGGATAAGAAACAACACCAGAAAACTATGAGACGATTCGAAACATTCTCTTTGAAAAATTTGGAAGTCTTTCCACCATTAAACGAACGCTGTATCACTTTTAAAATCATTCAAGCATAATGATCGCGATTTGAGAACAACAATAGAGACAATCGAAAGATTGTCTCTTAGGCAGCTGACAAACTTCGGTGAAAACGTAGAACAAACGAGTATCGAACTGACTATTCAAGAAAAGTTACCTCGATGGGTACTCGATGAAGTGTACAAACGGAAGGAGCTAGACCCAGATTGGTCTGTCAGTAAGCTTCGACAATTCATAGAAATTATTGTGAAACGAAGAGAAACGATTAATCAAATTTATGGACCAAAGAATCCAGACGATGCAAGAACAACGTGCAACAGAAGAATTTAATTCAATCAACCAAGAGGAACAACAGCAATACCGGCAATACAATTTCAAGTGGAAACCACAAATCAAAACATCAATTCTAACAAAAGGTGAAGACCTTGTGCACTTTGCAATCAAGTTCACTGGGACGACGAATGCCGAAAATATAAAATTTTGGAAGAACGCCTTGCAAAATTAAACTCTCTAAAAGCATGTAGAAATTGTTTAAAAGTGAAACATAACACAAGAAATTGTAAGACAAATCAAAAGAGTTGTTTCCACTGTAAGCAAAATCACAATTTCGCCTTGTGCTACATTTTCCAAAGAAGAGATCAATCACAACAAAACAAATCAAAGGCGGTTACAAATATAAATCAAAGAGAAGAAGTAAAAGCAGTCAACGCTTTAGCAGATCGCAACATACAAAAGAAATACAACGTCTTACTACTTTGTCGAAAAGTAGCAGTAGTAAATCCACAAAAACCTGGAATCAAAGCTAAAGTACTGGCATTTTTCGACATAGGATCACAGTTATCATTCATGTCGAAAAACTTAGCAAACCAATTGCGTATTAAAGGAAAAAAGTGAAATTCTTCATATAGCGGGATTTGGAAAGGAAAGACTAATAGAATTTCCAACGATGAAGACGGTAGTGGGAATCAGATTAAGCAAGGAGGAAACGATTCAGATGGAAATCAGTACAGTTGACCATCTTACCAACGACCTGCAAGTAGCTGATCTTCCTGATCAGAATCTCGAACAAATAAAAGAGCTCCATGATGAGTAGGAAAAACCGGACTTACTTATCGGAGCTAACTAGTTTTTCAATTTCATGGAACCAAGTAAATCCAAACGAATAAATTCGGGATTTTACTTAGTGGAGACGAAAGTGGGACCAATTGTGGCAGGTTATGGTCAAATAATTAACAATGTAAATTCAAATATAACGCAAGTGGAAACGGCAATTGTTTGCGTAACTATTCGCCGCAATGTACCAGGTATCGATCAGTTTTGGAAATTAGAGCTTATTGGTGTGAAAGAAGAACCAGAAACAACGGACGATGACAAGGCATCATCTCAATTCAAAAGAAGCGTCAGTAAATATAAAGGGCAATATCAAGTTAGCTGGCCGTGGAAAGAAACAGCGGTAAATCTTAAAAGTCATTATGGGTTATGTTTAGGAAGACTTAGATCACTTATAGCAAGACTACGAGACAAACCAATGTTATCATGAGATTCTTACACTTAACAAAGAAACAACGAAGCTTAGAGCGGTATACGACGCTTGAGCCCATTTGAAAAGTGACAAAAGTTTAAACGACGTATTATACCGTGGACCATCCACAATTCCTGATCTTTGTGGAGTATTGCTAAGATTTCGGATGATGGAAAACGTTATTGTAGCAGACGTAGAAAAGGCGTTTTTATAGCTTGAATTAAAACCAATTGATAGAAATTGCACTAGATTTGTATGGTTACGCAACATAGGAAAACCAATGGAAAACACTAACGTCAAATGCTACCGGTTCAAGAGAGTCCCTTTTGGAATAATATCATCATTTCTACTTTCTGCGACTTTGAATCATCACTTAGAAATCAACGGGAGTGGGCTAGCCAAAGAAATTAAGAAGAACTTATACGTAGACAACGTTTTGATATCATCAGCTACAATAGAAGAAGCTTGAAGAAATATCAGGAAGTGAAACAAATATTTAGTGAAGCATCTATGAATATTCGAGGATTTCTATCCAATAACAAAGAGTTCAACGCTTATGTACCGAAAGACAAGTTTAAAAAGAAGATTAAAATTCTTGGTATTCCTTAGGATTACCATAACGATACAATTACAATAGAACTCAAATCTTGGAAAGGAAAGGAAATAACTACAAGAAACATTTTACAATTTATAGCGTCTCAATACGACCTCCTGGGACTAATTGTATCAATAAACATCAAATTGAAATTATTTCTTCAAGATCTCTTCATGGAACAAGCCGTTAAAATAGGAAGATTTAGCGAAGTGGCAATCCCTTATTGAAGAATGGCCACAATTTATCAAAAACATTCCCCGAAAAACTATGGATTCAGCAGTAGTTTATATATCAACTAAAAGACGGCAATGAAAGAAAAACATCGTTAATATTTTCAAAAGTAAGACTCGCTCCAATAAAAGTTATTACAGTACCGCGACTTGAATTGGTGGGTGCTTTAATTGGAGTAAGAGCAACGACGTTTGTTAAGAAGCAATTAGAATTAGAAGGAATCCCAACAATTCTCTGGTCGGATTGAAAAAATGTACCTTACATTGGATACTAAATTGTATGAAATTGCAGCCAAAATTTATACAGAATCGAGTAGAAGAAATAAGGAAATCAAAGTTTTCCTTTCGATATGTACCTAGTAGAACCAATCCAGCAGCAAGAGGAATTAAGCCAGAAGATTTAAAATACCAGAAATTGTGGTGGAATGGGCCACATTGGTTAAATGAAAACGAAGAAAGTTGGCCAAATTGGACTTACCAAAATTTAGACGATAATATACACGAAGAGGAAGAAGCTCGAGAAATTGCAATAGAAGCAATTACATACCAAAACGGTAACAATTCCTTTCAAATAATTAATACCAATCGCTTTAGCAAGTGGATGCGATCTGGTCATTAAGATTCATTAAACGAATCACAAAAAATAGATTCAAATGGATTGAACTATTATCGGATGTTGGCAACCCCATAACAGTTTATAATTCTAAACTACTTGAACGGATTTTAATAAAGCAGGCTCAACATGAAAATTTCGACGAAGAGGTGAAACTAAAGCTAAGCCTCTATCTCGATGAAAATAAATTGTGAAGATCAGCTAGTCGACTCGAAAATTCATCTTTACCTGAAAAAACGAAACATCCACTTCATTTACCAAGACACAACGTTACCACAGAGCTTATTGTATTATATAAACATGAGTCACTATTTCACGCCGGAGTAGCACATACGCTATCAGAAATCAGGCAAAGTTATTGAATCCCAAAAGGCCGATCCGAACTAAAACGAATTTTAAACAAGTGTTACGTATGTAAACGATGGCAAGCAAAACCTTTTAAACTGTCGATAATGCCAAATTTACCAGAAACGCGAGTGAAAAGGTCAAGAACTTTCGAAAACATTGGAGTAGATTATCTCGGACCGATTTCAGTAAGATCAAATACAAGTACAACTAAAAGATGGATTGCGTTGTTTACTTGCTTTACGACGAGAGCTGTTCATTTAAAGATTGCCGAAGACATATCAGCCGAAACATTTATGCACATTGTTAGAAGGTTTATCAGTAGACGAGGTTATCCACACCAAATTATCAGTGACAACGCACTTCAATTCCAAACCGTATTCAGTAATAACTCAGGAATATGCAAAGGTCAACGAATTTTTAGCAAAGAAAGCAATTCATTGAAAGAGCAGTACGCCTCGATCTCGATGGAGTGGAGGATTATATGAACGGTTAGTAGGCTTAACGAAGAGAGCTTTTAGAAGAGCGGCAGGAAGAAAATTACTATAAGAAAGAGAACTGGAAATGTTAATAATAGGAATAGAGAAGAAATTTACGGCAGAATATTATAGAATGTTGGAAAAATACACTCAAAACTTTAGACATTTTTTGGAACAAATGGAAAGGAGAATATTTAGCCACACTAAGAGAAAGGGCTCAAGCAAATCATGTTCATCCAAAATGTACGCCAGAAACACACCACGGATAAATGAAGTTGTATTATTAGATGAACCAGGGATTCCACGAGGAATTTGGAAACTAGCAAAAATAATAGGCTTAAAAAGGGAAAGAGACAGAAAAATAAGAGCTGTTGAATTGAAACTTCCAAACGGAAATATAGTTATACGACCCATAAACTTATTATACTCTCTGGAATTACAAGACACGAATGAAACGGAAATGCCTGAAGAAGATAAAAAGAATGTCCTAAGAGCGAAGGAAGCCGAAAGATAAACAGAATATGAAAACGTCAGAAAAAATCACGATGCTAGATGATGGACCAATATCATTCAGAACAAGAAGTCATATCACCGTCCCACGTCCAGATAATTAAAATTTGGTAGGAAAAAAAAGAATATTTCAACCTTTATTTGATAAGAGACGATTCCTTTTATATAATTGTTTCCTGTTTAAATTATAATTTTATCACGTTTCTTCTCTTCGTTGGTTGTACTATCAGTAGAACTGGTCGAGCTGACTATTGTTGTTTTCTTCCCCTTTTATTCTTGATCCTTGAATTGTCGTTGAGTGTCGTAACTGTCGTTTGCTTGTACGTCGTCGTTTATTGCCAGAATATCTGTGCTTGCCGTTGTATTTCTCCACCCGTTGAATTTCTTCGTCATTTTTTGTAATTCACGTCGTTTAATACTCTACTTGAATAAGTAAACTGCCGTTGTTGTCGTCGATTGTTTTTTACCTCAAAGTTGGGTAATTAAACCCCATTGTTGTCCTATTGGTGTCCTAAGAACTAATCCCTCTTACGCGTCGTTCTAACCGTTTTCCTCTGACGCGACCTATGTCGCGAAAGGTTTGTTGGTTGATATTCGAATTGTTTGCAATACAGTAGAAAGATTAATAAGCCTTTATTTTTCGCAAACGTAGTATTAATAAATAGAGCAGTAAAAAGAGAGAAGAAACTTATAATAAAGAAGATCGGAGGAATTGATATTGGTTAACAGAGTAGTAGTCGACAATAATTACCATGAATAATTTTGTTTATTAGAATTGAATTTATATAAGTGAAGATTGGGCGTATCTAAGATAAAATCATGTGCGTTAAGAATTGGAAATGTTTACAATAAATTTTACTCAAAATCTCATGAGAATAAATCATAAGAGGTTAGTTTATGATATTATGAAACTAAAAATGATTAATTAATTTTTTTTAAAATTTTTATTATTTTAGATAGATGTTTTCGCGAAATTATAATTCGCGATACTCCCAAAGGGAGAGAGGAATTGTTTTAAGATGTAATTTTGAAAGTGATTTTGAGGTATATAGCTAAATGTACGGAGTTTAATAGGTGGGATTTCTTCTTTAGTTAGGAATTGAGTGCGTGGTGATTCTAGAGGGCGAGTAATGATGGTAACTTGTTTTGAATTTCGTTTTGAAGTATTACAAAAGAGGGATTGAACTAATTTAAATTCCCACTTAATAATAACTAAAATAGTTAATATTGTCACGATAATTATACAGATAAAAATCAATTTCCAATGTGTTATCACGTTTTCAAATTCTTCTTCTATCGGTAGAACAATTTCATTGAATTCCCTTTCCATTTGTTTGATAATTTCTTCTTCTCCAGAGATTTCTTGCCAAAAGAGTTCATCCATCATTTGATGTGGTATTGAATTAATTGTTTTTTGGGTTTGAGTTAGGATTTCCAATTCTGCATTAATTCTTTCAATTTCAAACTTACTTATTAAATCTCCTTTGAATTCGATATTTTCGATTGTTGATTGTTCTGATTTGCAAGGAGCCACCATCAAATTTCCGTTAATTCTTTTAGCTATCACATCGTTTCTTTGAAGTATTAGTTTCGTGGCAAGGGTAGGATTGCTGATTGATAGCCATTTGATCAAAAGTAATAAGTTATTTCTGTTTTGGCAACTTCTTTGCTGCGTTTCTTTGAGTTGTTGAAGGAATTCTTGTCTTAGTGAATCAGAAAGGTATTGAAGTTTTACGTTTTCAGGATCGTACTTTCTATCCGGAGACTTTTCCATCATCAATAGTTTATTTGTTACTCTTCGTTTGAATTTTGTAGTAGAGTTCGAGTCATCTTCAACGTCTAGTTCAATAACTATATCGCCCTGCATTAAAATTGGAGAGGTGAATCTACAATTTTTGGTGTTTAATATAGGGGGGTTTTTATCACTTATAAGCGATGCTTGTATTTCATCGATGATGAAGTGGTTGTTATACTTTGTAGCCCTGAATCTTCCGATCTTTCGATATAAACAATGATTGGTTGTATCATTGCTATTCCATATGATAATGCTAGTATTCGTTATGCATTCATCCTTTTCAAACAATCTTTTATATCTTCAAGGTTAGAGACTAACCCTCTTCCATCGTAGAGGAGAATTTCTTCTTGAGTTAATATGAAGTTTGACGTTGATTGATAGCTAACTCCTAACCATCTATTAGGAGTATTGTATTCCTTATTCGTTATCCATTGATTAGGAGAAGATTGAATTAGTCCAATTCCGTTCATTTGTTTTCGAACATTTAAATATCTGCAGAATTGTGAGGAAGTTGCGGTAGTAGACGTATAGTCTGATACTACCGATAGTGATATTCTGAGAAAAACTTTCGTGCATACAGTCCGTGTAATGTTGCTACATTTTATAGCTGGTATTCTTACATGGGTGTACACATCCACTTTGTGATATGTAGCATTTTTGTGAATAATTTCTTCACAATTCCATTTTTCAGGAATATTAAAGAGCACTCCAGCAATCCAATTACAGCTGTTGTTTGCTAATACCTGTCGTGTTACTAACGATATCATTGTTATTAATGATAAAGTTTTTATCATAAGATTAGACTTGTCTTTTGCATCGATTTCATCTTCCACATTTTCTTCTCTATCTTCAATAGCATCTATTTCCATAGGATAAAGCATATTGATTGATCGATCAATTTGTTTTCCATTTGGTAATTGTATTGTTGCGCTCCTTATTTTTCCATCCCATCCTCGTTTAATTTTTATTATCCTTGCTAATTTCCATACATCACGAGGTACTTCTGGTTTATTTAATAATACTATCTCATTTTCATGTGGCACTCTTTTTTCTACTATTCTAGGTGATTTTAATTCCCTTTGTGTGCGTTCTCTAAGACTTGTAAGATATTCTTCTTTCCACAACTTCCAAAAGACATCTAATGTGGTAAGAGTGGTAGTTCAATACTTGATTAACTTATCTTTAGTCTTTATTTTTGTATATTCATCTTGATCACTATCATAATTTATTGGTAGATCTAATGAAGCCATAGGTGATATAAAATCAAATGGACGAATGAATCTATAGTCATCAAACCCTACATAAGTTAATGGACGAGTATTAAGGATTCCTTCTATTTCAACTATTAATGTTATTAATTCTTCTTCCTTTAGAAGTTTTCTTCCTATTGCTCTTCTTAATGCCTTTTTTGTGAGTCCTATTAGTCTTATATACACCACCACCCCATGGTGCTCTTGGTATAGTATTTTTCCATATCATACCTTTTGTCGCTAAAAAATTAGCGTTTTCTTCCATAATAGTTTTGAATACCAGTTGAAATTGGCTAGCATTATCGCTTAATATTAATTTTGGATATCCACGTCGAGCGATAAATCTTTTTAAAACATGTGAAAAATTCTCGGCAGATAAATTCTCCGCCATTTCTAGATGCACTGCTCTGGTAGTGAAGCACGTAAAAAGTGCTATCCATCTTTTCACTAGACCAGTATTAGATTTGACTGAAAGAGGACCCATATAATCAAGGCCGACTTGTTCGAAGGTCCTGGATCGTTTTACTCATGTTTCTGGTAAACTTGGCATCGCTGGCAGTTTAAACGGTTTAGCTTTCCAGCGAATGCAATAACAGCATAGGTTTATGATTCGTTTTACAGCAACTCTTCCTTTTGGTATCCAATATTTTCGTCTTAATTCAGATAACGTATGTGCAATACCTGCGTGATATAATTCATTATGCTTGTGTAAAATAATAAGATCAGTAGTATAATTATGATCCGGTAAATATATAGGATATTTGCTTTCGTCCATTAATTCTGAATTTTCCAGTCGGCTCCTTAATTTCCATAAGTCACTTTCATCTAGATATAGATTCCATTTTTCCTTTTCGTCCTCCGTTAGCAATCGTGATTGGGCCTATCTGATCAGCATAGTCTCTGCTATATCGTAGTCAACTTTAGTCATATATTTCTTTTTTACGGATAATGGTTCTAGCCACACTAATTTTTGCAGGTTTGTTTAATAAATCTAAAAGTCCAAACAGTTACTCGAACTAGTTTTGTCCAACTGCTGAAGCGACATACGTCAATAAATTCAATTATATTCCTTTTAAAAGTTTGAGTCATCTTTGTTAAATTCAAAGCAATTGCTTCTGCAAATTCATCGTTTCCTGAATAGCGAAGTTTGCACTTTGGCCATTCAGATTTCTTGAGTTCCAACCATCGAGGTCCTTTCCACCATTGTTTACAATTTTGGAGTTTAAGTGGTGATCTCCTTTGGTGGCTATATCTGCTGGATTTTGATTACTTGGTATGTATTTTAATTCGAAGTTAGATTTCCTTATTTCTTCGATGCGATTTTGTATAAATCTGGGAAGCAGCTTTGTATAATTCTGGATCCAGTAAAGAACACATTTTGAATCAGTCCACAAAGTAACTTGATTATTTTCAAGATTTAATTGTTTCAATACGAACTGAGCTGCTCTTACCCC